ATTTTCCTTAATGATGCCATCACAGTTGACAGGAGATGTTATAGGGGGAAAGTTACCTAGAAACTTACTGGGAGCTGTGCACATCATCTGACCTCCAGCTCAGAGGAGAAAGAAAGATGTTGTCATTAAGTGGACCAAGAGTGAAATCAAGGCCAATTCATGCACCATTTCTGTGGACCTAGAGCATGAACAGATTGATTGTGAAAGAGGGGAAAATGGAAAATATCACATGGAACCTGTGAAAAAAATAGTGTAATATATATCATGTTCCTTTTTTTTTTTTTTCCTTTTTAGTAAATAGGGATCCAAGCCCTAAACGATCTTTTCTTGTTTTTGAGTGCCATTGAGTCAATTTTTGACTCACAGCAACCTCATGTGTCACAGTGGAATTGCCCCATAGGGTTTTCTAGGTTGTAATCTTTATAGCAGATTGTCAGGTCTTTCTCCTGCAGAGCTGCTGAGTTATTCAATTTGCCAACCTTTTGGTTAACAGCTGAGCACTTAACCATTGTACCACCAGGACTCCTGAAAATAGTGCATAAAAAGGTAAAGGAATATCATATGGGAGTTTAACCTGAAGGGCATACCTCCAATCCTTATTTAATGCAGGATTCAGAACAAGATTTCAGGAAGCTGCTTGGTATCCTCAATAGGGTGCAAATAATAATAATTTATTTTATAAAATAGACTCAGAAAGTCATAAAGAGAAACAAACTAAGATAAAAAGGAAATGCAATAACATAAGAATGAGTGAAGGATCAACTAATAAAGATGATGGCAGTAACAACAGTAACAATGTTTTTTTTAAATTTTTATTGTGATTTGGGTGAAATTTTACAGAACAAATTCATTTTCCATACAGCAGTTCACATACACTTTGTCTCATGACATTGACTGCAATTTCCCACAATGCAACAGCTCTCTTCCCACTTCCTCCCCATGGTTATCTCTTCCCTCTGTCCTTCCTTCCCTTGCACTTCTGCCCCCTGAGCTGTCTCCCTGTGCATACACAGCCCTTCCATTCTCCCATGATTGATCTCTCCAAGGAGTAAATGTAAATGTAAACGTTCAGTTCATATGCTTGTGAGTTGTTTGGCTGGAAGACACAGAAGTGGGTTCAACTCCAGACCTGAAGGGAAACTAGGGGCCATAGTCTCAGGGGTTCCACCAGGCTCTATCAGACCAGCAAACCCCACAAATCTGATCTAAGCCCCCCTTTTTTATGATTTTGAGTTTTGTTCCACATTGTTCTCCCACTCTATCCAGGATCTCCTACATAGATCCCCCTCGGAGTGGTTGACAGTGGTATCCAGGCACCATCTAGTTCTTCTGGTCTCATATAAGCTGAGGATTACATGGTGCACCAGTCCTTTGGACTAATTATTCCATGCATCTTTGGTTTTCTTCATTCTTCTTTGCTTTGGATGAGGAGAGATCCATCATTGCATATAGACAGCTGCTTGCAAGCTTTTACAATTCCAGTTGCTACTCACCAATGTAGGATGTGAAACAATGTTTTTGTGTAGTATATGTTATGCCAATAGAGCTTGATGTCCCCTGCGGCCATGGTCCTGAGCCCACAGGTCCAACTACTTGCTCCTTCTGGGTAGCTGGCTGTGGCCAAGAAGTGACTACAACCTTGTCCCTTGTCAGCTCTACTAACAATAACAATTTTTAATATTTATTCACTGTATAACCAGGCTCTAATCTACATGTTTTTAAGATGTATTAACTGATTTAATTTTCACAAGAGCACCATAAATATCTACTATAATTATTGTTCCCATTTTATAGTTGATAAAACTGAGAGGTTAATTAAGTTCTTCAAGGTCACCCAAGTGGTGTTGGAGACAGGATTCAAGCTTTTCAGTTTGACTCCACAGCCCATGCTCTTAATCATTATACTAAGAAAGGAGGACAAGAAAATAAAAAATACAACAGCAGAATGAAAACATTCAAGGCTGTAAAGAGTATAATTGAAGCTGTGGGCTACTGATATTAATGACAAGAAGGGGCAGCCCACTTAGGAAGGACAAACATATGAGAACAAGGAAAGAGAGGATGATAGTTATAGACACCAGAGGACAGGAGGCAATTAATAGACAATTGGTTTTCCCAAAAAAACCAAACCAAACTCATTGTCATCAAATCAACTCTAATTCATAAGGAGGACTAAAACTAATGGAAAATCAAAATCAAAACCAAACCCACTGCCACTGAGTTGATTCCAACTCATAGTGACGCCCATTAAATTTCCAAGGCTATACATCTTTACAAAAGTATATAGTCTCATCTTTCTCCCATTGAGCAGCTGGTGGGTTTGTCCTCTGACCTTCTGATTAGCAGCCAAATGCTTTACCCACTACACCATCAAAGCTCCTTAAAACTAATGGAAGGAAAGCCAAAATCAAAGATACAATAAAAGAAAACTTGGCTGTGCTGACTGAAAGGACTCATCGTGTTCCAGGTAAGGTAAACAAAAGGAGATCAATATCAAGACATGGCCTGTTAATTCGGGACTATCATGTCAAAGAAACAACAAACAAGCAACAACCCACTGCCACCGAGTCAATTCCAACTCATAGTGACCCCCACTGAGTTGCCAAGGCTGTAAAGCTTTGCAGAAGTAGATTGTCTCATCTTCCTCCCATGGAGCAGCTGGAGAGTTTGAACTGCCAACTTTCTGGTTAGCAGACAAATGTCTTACCCACTAGGCCACACCATTAAACAAAGAACATAAACAGAACAAGAGAACATATGAAAAACAAACAACCACTAAATATTAAAAACAAAAAATGTACCTCACTTCTAATTAAAAAAAAAAAGAGCAGAAAGTTAAAACAATAAGATACTATTTTCACATTTGAAATCACCTGTGATGTCAGAAAGGGTAATAACGGTGTTGGTGAGGGCACAAGGGAAATTAAAACATGAAAAGTATATTGACCTTTTGACTCAGTATTTTTATTCATAGGAAATTGTCCTAAGGAAATAATCAGGGGTTATGAAAATACATAGCTACCAGAATGTTGCTTACTACAGTATTGCTAACCTTTCTAAAAAGGAGATGGGTTGAACACATTATGGTACGTCCAGTCAATTTTTAACACAATCATTAAAATTTATGTTATAGAAAAAATTGTTGAACAAAGTAGAAATATGTTTGCAATATATCAAGTGAAAACAATTCAGGTTTATAAAGAGTGAGTACAGAATGATCTCATATTTGTGAAAATTTCTCTATATGCACAGATGTATAGGGAAATGTCTATGAGCATGGTCATCAAAATGATAGTGGTGGTTGTTTGTTTTTAATTGTATCTTCTTTCTTTTATCATATTATCTATTCACATTTATTTTTTTCTTGAAAAATAAGAAGGAACATACTATTATCTAACTAATGGAATGGCACAGGGATTCAGTGCATTTCCTGTAACAGGCTGATCATGCATCGCATCAAGTGTGCCAGGTGTGCCAGGGAGAGAGGGAAGGGCAGTGGCACCTACTTGGTCATTCATTTTTCTATTATCACAAAAACTTCCAAACACACAGCAACACTGAGAACATTGCACAGTGAACATTTGGATACTCACCTTCTAGATTTTACCATTAGCTTTTTACTTGTTTTATCATATACCTGTTCATCCCCCTATCCATCCATTAATTCATCTTAGTCTTTCCTTTTACAACTTTCAAAGTAAATGGAAGACATCTGCACATTTGCCCCTAAATACTTCACCAAACCAAAACCCATTGCCATCAATTCTGACTAAAAGCAACCCAATAGGACAGAGTAGAACTGCCTCATAGGGTTTCTAAGGCTGCAAATCTTTACAAAAGCAAACTGCCACATTTCTCCCATGGAGCAGTTGGTGGGTTTGAGGTGCCAACCTCTCAATTAGCAGTCAAGTGTTTTAACCACTGCATCATCAGGGCTTGCTAAATACTTCAGCATGTGCATGATTAACAAGGCATCAATATTTACTTTTTTCCTTTTGAAATAAAATTTACATACAATGAAGTACATAAACATTTAGTACATATTCACTGAGTTTTGACAAATGCACCTATCTGTGTACCCCAAATCCATCTCAATATATATTGATTGCCATTATCCTAGGAAGTGACTTCATTGCCCTTAATATGTTTTTTTTAATAATCACAAAAAAATAAAGCTATTTGGAAAGTATCTAAAGTATTACCATCTTTTTGTTTAAATATATACATAGAAAAAAACTTGAAAAAAATATAAAAAAGTGATTATCTGTGAAGAGTGGGATTACCATTAGTCTTTATTTTCTTCTACTGCCTTCTCTGTATTTTCCAAATTTTATATAATGCACAAATACTACTTGGGTGGGAAGAAAAAGCAGTAAAAGCTAATTAAGAGAAACCTCATTCAATTTTTTAGTAAGGGATGTCACACACAGACAACATTTACAGCTACTAAGGTGACAATTTTGAAGCTAATGTATGTACCAAAATGGGAAATGTTTCCATATTCTATTAGATTACAATTACAAAATTAAAAGAAATATTAATAGCATGATCACCATGATGTAAGATATGTAAGTACATAAAACAGGACTGAAAGAAACTAAGAAAAGCAGAAGTGGCTATGTTTTCTGTTCTGTTCCCTGGGACCTATTTGGCAATTTAACATTTTCAAGCGTACAATTTAGTGACATTAGTTCCATTCATCATATTGTGCAACCATCACCAGTATCTGTTGCCAAATTTTTGTGCGTTAAGTTTTGAATAAAAATAAAATGTTACAGTACATTTTAATAAATAAGGACAGCAGTTAAAACACCCCATAAGACCCTCACTTCAGGGCATACACTGGGCAGCTCTAAAGAAATGAACTCACCAGGCAAGCTACAGAATCTTCCTTGGTTTCTGTAAATGTCTGCTTACATAGTCCACAACTTTTGGCAAAGTTTAGAAAACAGGATCCAAAGTATTATGATACAGAGCACAATAAACAGGTACTAAATTACCTCTTTCTGGAAAGATGTTGTTTTTGGTGAGTTTGACACTTTTGGGCCTTGGGTGGTTGTCATTCATGCCCATGATCAAGTTGCGGAAAAACACATCAAATTTCTTTCTGCTGTCTGCATTGATGGTACTGGCCACACTCCACACCAAGGCAAAGAGGAATAAGCCTTGCAGCCAGAGGAAGATCTGTTGGCTTGTCAGGCCTTCAAATAATTCATTTTCCTCCTCTTCCACATTCCTGATTTCATCTAAAAGAGGGCAGAGTGCACAGTGACGTCGCAGATACACAGGACATGAACTGGCTGGTTTCGCCTGTGATGGACTGATACCAGCTGAGAGGCCACACTGCCAGATCCTTTCTGTACAACCATCTTTATTTAACTTAATGCTCATAACAAAGTTAGAAAAGAAGCATGGCGGTCCTCATTTTACAGTAATCTGTAACTACAGGAGGCCATGGATCATACAGCTAGGTTGCAGTGAAGCTAGATTTGAATCCAAACCTGAATCATTCCAAAGCCCAGACTCTTGACCCTTAAACCAGTGCTTCTCAAACTTTAGTGCACACATAAATCATCAGAGATCTTATAAAAATGTAGATTCTGGTTCAGTGGGTCTGGAGTGGGGCCTGAGTGGGGCCTCTTCATTTCTAATGAGCTCCGAAGTGATGCTACCTATGCTCCTAAGCTGGTACTTTGAGTAGCAAGGCACAGCAGTATACTTTCTTCTTTCAGATGAAAGGATAAGTGCAAGAAAAACTGACAATTAGATGAAAGTTTTCCTCTAAATGTGCCCTCCTCCCTTTTAACATTCCTCTTGTTCCCTTCAAACACTTACCCTCTACCTATGCTGCTTATGGTTACCCAGGAGGCTTTGCTCCTGGGTCTTCCTGCTTCAGTTAGTTCCTAGAACTTTCCTGCTGCTTGTCCTTCCAGTAACATTTAAAAATATCTGGCGCTCCTCTTCAGTAACAATGAGCACCCTTAGCATGCAGATCTTGATTTCTAAACGTCCCTCATCAACATAAAAAACTTCTCTAAGAGAAGTGATTGATTACAGAAAGCACTGAGCCAGGAAAAATACAGGATGAGTGTGGAACATCTTGTGGTATCAGAAAATAAGGAAGTCTTGAAAATGGGGACATGTCACAAGGACACAAGAGCCAACCTGAAAGAATTCCGAATCTTCAGTCCTTTGAGCAACAAAATAATGATAGAACTGGATTATAAACCATGGAATAAAATAAATATCCATGAGTCCATATTTTTATCAACAAACAATTAAATAAGTAAGTAAACAGGAAAGAAGAACAGTTTTTCATTACAGAAGAACCCTAATTTGTAAATGTAGAAAGAACAGAAATAGAAAAAAGAAAACAGAAGTGGAGAATTTCCATAACTTCTATTAACCACAAACCAGTCATCATTGCAGGAAGATCCCTTAATGGATGCTAAAACAATGGGGGAGTTTGAGGAAAAAGAGGTTATTTGCAAAGTCTCAAAGTATCTCCCCCAAGATATTTACTAATCACGAAGAAAAACTAGTAACTTTACAGTGGAGAAATGTGGCTCTTATCAAAGTTAACTTCACTAGCATTAAGACAGATCAACATCAACACCATGTACACGACAGGATGCACTGAGAATGAGACATCCTGTGTTATTCTAACCAAAAGTGCACAAGTGCCTCAATCTGATTATGAGAAAGTATCAGGCAAGCCTAGATCAAAAGATATTTTATAAAATAACGGATCAGTGCTCATCAAGTGTCACGATTATGAAAGACAAGGAAAAGACTGAGGAGCTGTCATAAATTGGAAGAGCCTAAGGAGACAGAGGGGGCATTGATGATTCAGTGGTAGAATTCTCGCCTTCCACGAGAAAGGCCCAGATTCAATTTCTGGCTAATGTACTTCACGTGCAGCTGCCACTCATCCATCAGCGACGGTCTATGTATTGCTTAGATGCTGACCAGGTTTCAGGGGAGCTTCCAGACCAAGACGGACTAGGAAGGAAGGCCTGGTTATCCAGCTCTGAAAACCAACCACTGAAAACCCTATGGATAACAACGGTCCAATCCACAACCAATCATGAGGACTAAGCAGTATTCCATACCATTGGCATGGGGTCATCATGAGTCAGGGGTTGACCTGAGGGTAGCACATAACAAGAATAAGGAGAAGGAACAATTAAGTATGATGCAGCATTCTGAATTAGATTTGTTGTTGTTGTTGTTATGTGCCATCGAGTCGGACCCAACTCATAGCAACCCCTCCTTGGGTTTCCGAGGCAGTATCACTATGGAAGTAGATTGCCCCATCTTCCTTCCGAGGAGTGGCTGGTGGGTTTGAACCGCCAGCCTTCTGGTTAGCAGTCAAGTGCCTTAGCCATTATGCTACCAGAGCTCCCTCTGAATTAGATACTGGAAGAGAAAAAGGACATTCATGAAAAAAACTGGTGAAATCTGAATAAGGTCTGTAGTTTAGTTAATAGTACAATAACCATGTTAATAAAACCAAAAACCAAACTCACTGCCATTGAGTCGATTCTGACTTACAGCAACCCCCACTGGGTTTCAGAGGTGGTAAATCTTTACATAAGTAGATTGCCCCATTTTCCTTCTGTGGAGTGGCTAGTGGGTTTCAACTGCCAACCTTCTGGTTAGCAGTCAAATGCCTTACTGTGGTCATGTTGGCAGAAGGGACCATTCCCTGGAGATATCATGTGGGGTATAGTGAAGGGTCAGTGAAAAAAGGGAATGCCCTCAACTATATGGATTGACACAGTGGCTGCAACTATGGGCTCAAGTATAGCAAAGATTGTGAGGCTGGCACAGGACCAGGCAGTATTTCATTCTGTTGTACACAGGGTCACTATGAGTTGCAGCCAGCACTATAGCACTAACAACAACACAACTATGCTAATTTCCTAGTTCTGATCATTGTGTCATGTTTAGGTGAAAGAAAAAAACAAAGCTAGGTGAAGGGTATACATGACTGTCAGTACTCTTGCTACTTTGCTGTAAGTCTGAATTTATTCCAAAATAGAAAGTTAAAAGAACCTTTAGTTTACTTATCTCAAAGTCGTTAATGATGTTATGATGGGTGCCATGTTCTTGCATTTGAACACTGACAGAGTGAAAAGTGAAGAGCTATGGAATCAGACACATGTGCATTCAAACCTCGTCTCCAGTGTTTAGTGTGTGTGTAGTCGAGCATTCCCCAGAGGATTCACAGCTATAGATTTGGGAAAGTAAGAGATGAGGACACTCAGAGCTAGGGACAGTAAGTCTATTTCTGGCGTTGATGTCTTTTTTCTCTGAGAGCATACTATACAAGAACAGTAGACAGAGCATGGGAAAGTATGTAAATTTTTAAAATGAATACAAATATATGACACAGTCTGTAATGGTGTACTTCTGAAAACATTGCTCATACATTTCATTTTAGAAAAATCAAATAACCTTCAGCCAAAGGAAGGATCATTCAACTGTTCTCCATATAACAATTTCTGATCCATACTTTCAATGTCTTTGAAAGAAATAGAGTAAGAAAATAAGTTCATGTGCTAGAAGGTATAAAGAAGATCCATCTTGAGTTTGAATTATATGTCATCTTGAAAAAGAAATGGCATTCAATAAAACTTCTCCAAATGGACGCATCCTTTGTCATGCCCATTAGAATCCGTGAAACTGATTTATGGACAAAAGTTATAGAGGTATCTGATTTAACCATAGGAAGTATATAAATCATAGAACCATCAGTTTAAGTGCCTTGCAGAACTTTCTTAATTTTTAGAAACTAATGTGATCAGTTCTTTTATACATGACTGTGTATTTGTGTGTTTTGTGAATTTATACTTTTGTGATGTAAGTTTTCTTAACATGAGGAAACTTCCGTATTTTTCTTCAGAATCTTTATGTGTAAGATAAATTCCTGCATATCACCGACATTTATTTTTCTCCAGTAGAGCCCTGAGAGTCAAAGAGCTACAGGAATTATTATTCCCATGTGTGGATGAGGAACTTAAGTTGAGAAAAGATAGGGTCATTTGCACAAGGATACCAGCATGCGAAAGCTGGACAATGAATAAGGAAGACTGAAGAAGAACTGATGCACATGAATGAATGGTGTTGGTGAATACTGAAAATACCATGGAGTGCCAGAAGAATGAACAAATCTGTCTTGGAAGAAGTGCAGCTGGAATGCTCCTTAGAAGCCAGACTTCATTTGTTGTACTTTGGTCATGTAATCAGAAGGCACCAGTCCCTGGAGAAGAATATCATGCTTGGTAAAGTAGAGGGTCAGCAAAAAGGGGAAGACCTTCAATGAGATGGATTGACACAGTGGCTGCAATGCAACTGAAGCACAGCAACAATTGTGAAGATGGCACAGTACTGGGCAGTGTTTCGTTCTGTTATACACAGAGTCAGATGAGTTGGAACTGACTCCATGGCACCTAACAACAACCAAACCCAAAAACCCAAACTCACTGCTGCTGAGTCAGATCCGACCAAAGCAACCCCTCCTTGGGTTTCTGAGGCAGTATCACTACAGAAGTAGATTGCCCAACCTTCCTTCCGAGGAGTGGCTGGTGGGTTTGAACCGCCAGTGTTCTGGTTAGAAGTCAAATGCCTTAGGCACTACACTACCAGAGCTTCTTCTAACAACACAACCCAGCAAATCAACGCCCAAATCAAAGCTAACGTCTAAACACACTGACTCCACCAAACTCTACTATCTACATTTCAAAAGCTAGCTTGTTCTGGACCAAACAGCCTTGTCCCATTGTAACTCACAGGGGAAAAGGACGGGTAGAAGCAGAGGAAATGGCTGCTGCATCTCAACCTCCCCTTGGCTTAAGAATCATGGGTAGCACTTACCAAGCAGAGAGGAGTACAGCCTCATCATTGAGAAGGCAAGATGGATGGGAGACGTTTGGACCACAAATCTACACTGAAGGCGAATAAATTCCAGGCAGGGCTGGACGAGCCACATGAACATGTCATCAACCTAAGAGCAGAAAGCTATGTGAGATCTAGAGACATTACCAAAAAGTAACTTGAAGATCAAGAGCTGAGTCCATCTAGGGGAAGCTGGAGGTACTGTAAGATTGCTGATTACTTTTGAATGTAGATACATAGGGGGAAGCCCACTGGCACCAAACCTCTGCCCCTAGCTTCCTCCTTAATGGTCCTAAGACTGTACAGCCCACAGGCCATACTGAACTCAGTTTCCCATCCCTATCCCACCCTTCCATCCCACTGCCCAGACCTTAATACTCAGTAAGGCTCAGAGCTATTATGGTTCAGCAACAGAATGTAGGAGCTAGGTTGAGGACCCAGCCACTGTGTCTGACTTTGTTTCTATAAGAATGCTAAGAATTCCAAACAACTGATTTACAAATAACCAGCCTTTTTAAAGTGATAGGGAGTGCAGAGCTAACTTTGGGGTTCATTCTCAGTAATTTATGTACTTATTTCCTTTCCTCCTCTTTCCACCCCCCTCCTTCCTTCTTTCCTTTCTTACTCATTTTGTGAGGGGATATAAAATTGCCTCCCTCACCCAATTTAACTTTTTTTTTTTTTTTTTTTAAATCACTGGACTCACATTTCCCCTTAGTATTTTTCCACTTTTGTTATACTTTAATTGTGATTCTCACTGTAAATTACCTTAATTTTTTTTTTTTTTAGAAGCAGGCAAAACATCAGTAAATACATACACAGATGTGAAAAAAAAGTTGGCACACAGTCAACTCTGATTCCTGGAGGCCCCACGTGTGTCAGAGTAAAACTGTGCCCCATATGGTTTTCAATGGCTGATTTTTCAGAAGTAGATTGTCAGGCCTTTGTTTTGAGTCATCATTGGGTGGACTCGAACCTCCAACCTTCAGGCAGCAGCCAAGCACATTAACTATTTGCACCACCCAAGGACTCGAGGTATGTATACATGTAAGTACCCGTGTATAGATGCATGTGTATATATTTATATATATATACTTATATATATAGAGAGAGACTATGTGTGTATACATGGATGTGTGGTATATTCAGCAAATTCATTGAGCATCTACAAATTACACTGTCCTGCATACTGAAGCTTAATGATGGACAAGATAGACAAGGTCCCTGCTCTCATGGAGCTTACAGTCTGGGGAAGGAAGGAGACAAACAATAAACAACTAAGCAAACAAGGAAATTTTATAGGTCATAGAAAGTACTAGCAGGAAATAAGGGTGCTACAATGGAGAATAAAAGAAAGGGTTTAAACATGGTAGTCAAGGAGGTCTTCTTGGAGGACGAAACCTTTATGCAGAGATCTGGATGCAAGGTTGAGCCACCCATGAGATGACTTAGGGCAATCTTCCCAGGGAGAGGAATCAAAAGTGCAAAACCTTTTGGTTGGTAAGACCTGAGGTTTTCTCAAAACAAAAACAAGACATGAGGAGTGGAGAATAATGAACTGCACCTGAAAAGAGAGCAGGTAATGAGGTCAAAGAGAAGGCCCGGGACAGATGAGATCCTCGTAGACCCTAATAAGGTACTGATTTTGTGCTAAGGATATTGGGAAGTCTCTGGAGGAATTTAGATGTGTGAGGATTTGGTAATTTTCAGGATATGTGTGCGAAGACTGGTCCCTGAGTGTGTATGTGCACTTGTGTTTGTAGAAATCTCTGTGTTTATATATACTGTACATGAATGTGGTGTAGAGCCTAAGGCATTTGACTGCTAACTGGTTCAAACCTACAGGTCTGGAAGCATAGTGCCTAAGGCACTTGACTGCTAACCAGAAGGCTGGAGGTTCAAACCCACCAGCCACTCCTTGGAAGGAAGGTTGGGCAATCTACTTCCATAGTGATACTGCCTTGGAAACCCAAGGAGGGGTCGCTACGAGTGGGATCTGACTCGATGGCAGTGGGCTTGGTTTCGGTGTTTTGGTACATGAATGTAAGTGGTGACAGGCACAGGGCCATCCCACATCATTCCCCCAAAGTGTTTCTACAGTAGGAACAGGCCCTGACTCAGATTCTTCTTCACTGCTTCAGTGGAAGACTTTCCAAAGGCTCTCTATTACTGTAGAAAAGGACAAGAGGCACCACAGACATGTCTTTTCCTTGATTCTCTTCTTCCTCCCTCCATAGTCTGAGGGCGTGGCCAGTGTTTGCCTAACCTGAACTTTCACACCTCTTTTTGGAAAGAAGAAAGTAACTCTTAGGAGCTACAGTAAAAGCATTCCCAACTAGTTCTAGCTCCCTAGAGAAAGGAAGTATGGAGTTGGGTTACTTGGACGGGGAGTGGCAGGCAGAGAGGGACACAACTCTTCCTAACTTGGTCCATCTCATGGGCAACTTCTAGAGATGCTTCTGCTAGGAGGGGAATGGGGAAGGCGTGACCTTCCTTCTGCCACAGAATGGCTCTTTAAGCACTGGAATTTTCCACGGAAGTTGAGGAGGGATGGAGAAAGTGAAAGAAGAAGGAGGAATTGACTCCATTACACCACCCCATCCCACACAAAGAAAACGGGAAAAATAGCAGGCAGCCAGGAATCAAGGTAAGGGGAATAGGCAGGGAAACCCCTACCTCTTCTTGCTTCTTGGAACCATGATGATGAAGAGCAGCTGGGGGGCCTTTGAGATGAGAAGTTAGGAAGAAGAGAGGGAGGGGGCCTGAGGGTCTCACCAATTCCTTGTGCTCTCCAGTGAGGATGGGGGGCAGCGTGTCCATGTATGACTCCTTCAGGGGCTTCCAGCCTAGCTGATGTGGCTCCATGTAGATCATCCCACACCTGGCAAGCACAAACAGTGGTAGGCTGGCCCACACCTGGGCTCCCATTCACAGAGGAGGGAGGCAAATGAGGGCAGTCATGGCAAGGGAAGGAGCTGGAGCTTGGGTTGGGGCACAGACTCCTCACCATCTCCAGGCCAAAGGGAAAGTGTGCTGGTGATGAGAGAACAAGGTTTTTAGAGTCAGAGAATTCTGGATTCAAATCCCAGCCCCAGATTTTACCTAGTAACTAGGTTTTTTTTCCCTTCTTTCTTGTTTTTAGAATTTATTTCATTTTTGTTGTTGTTGAGAATATTCACAACAGATCTTACATCAATTCAACAATTTCTACCTGTACAATTCAGACACTGAATACATTTTTTGAATTGTGCAACAATTCTCACCCTCCTTATCCAAGTTGTTTCTCCTTCATTAACATGAACTCACCAGTCCCCAAAGGATCTTATCTAATTTTTCGAGTTACTGTTGTTAGTTTGACCCCATAAGCAGGCTTCTTTAACGTCTCTGAATTTCTGTGTCCTTGTCTACAAAATGTGGCTCTGGTGGCCTAAGGCATTTGACTGCTAACCAAAAGGTTGGTTGTTCAAACTTATCAGCTGCTCCATGGAAGGAAGATGGGGCAATCTACTTCTAAAGATTTACTGCCTTGGACACATTGGGGGTCACTATGACTCAATGGCAGTGAGGTTTTTTTTTTTTTTTTTGTGACAGCAGTGAGTGAGTTAGTGGTTTGTAAGCTTGTTATAGTGGTTTATAAGCTTGTTATAGTGATTAGATAAGAAAATAACAGTAAAGAATTTAGCACCACACCCACCATATACGCATTGTCACTGAGTTGATTCTGACTCAGTATACCCTATAGGACAGAGTAGAACTGCCCCACAGTTTCCAAAGCTGTATCTTTACAGAAGCAGACTGTCACATCATTCTCCCACAGAGTGGCTAGTGAGTTGGAATTGCCAACCTTTCAGTTGGCAGCCAAATGTTAATCCCTGTGCTGCCCGAGCTCCCTTGTCCAGCACAAGACCCTTAACCAGTGGTAGCTATTATCATAAATACCTGTGTACCAACATGCAGCATTTTATGTAACACGTGTCTTTTAAATTTTCATTCTGTTGCATGTGGATGCTGTCTTGTTGATTACAAATACTGGCTACCATTTACTGAGCAACAACTGCATGTCTGGCACTGTGCTTGGCCTTAATCACTAAACATTCTGTGTCATGGCCTGAGTTTAGACTTGAGGAGACTGTGGCTCAGAGAGCTGAAGTGACTTGGAAGGGGTCTGGCAAGTGCTTGAGCCAGGGTGGGAGCCCAAGTCATTCTAACTTGCATTGTGCTCCTTGGATTCTACCACATTGCCTTTGGGAATGTGGGCTGGTTTTATTTTATTTTTATGGACTTCAGGTGCACAGGTGTGGATTAATTACCCTCCTTGGTACACTAACGATTAGCCCATGCCTGGCCTTTCCTAGTTAATTGTTTTCAGTAATAAAGTAAAATTTTCAGTAATAAAATAAAGTGCCCATGATCTCACTACCCAGACAGAAGCTAGGATCTTGGATAATAACCATATAACTTATAACCATGTAGCCATAGCTAATCCTACTGCCCTGACATTTCCCCTGAAGTAACACAACATCTTTAATCTCATGGTCACTTGTTCCCTGATTTCTTTCCTTTTTACATAGTTTTATAGTATTTCCAGAAGGCTGGCAGTTCAAACTCACCAGCCACTCCTTGGAAGGAAGACTGGGCAATCTACTTCTGAAGAGATACCACCTTGGAAACCCAAGGAGGGGTTACTATGAGTAGAATTGACTTGACAGCAGTGAAGTGGTTTTTTTTTTTTTTTTTGGTATATGCCTAAAACATAAATATTTTTATTTTAGTTGTTTTTAATCATTTAAAAGAGGCACAATGTTGTATGTAATATATTTGTTGTTGTTATGTGCCATAGAGTTGGACCTGACACATAGCGACCCCTCCTTGGGTTTCCAAGACAATATCACTATGGAAGTAGATGTAATATATTGGACTTACTTAATAGCACTATGATTTTATCCTTAAGATATGAAGATTTATTCATATAGGTTACATGTCAGTATAGCTCATTTATTTTGAGTGCTACATAAATACCTCTTGTATGACTGTATTAAACTTTATTCATTCACTCCTGTTAAAGGCATTTGAATAATTTCTATTTGTTACTGTGAACTACACCACTATGAATATTCTTCTACATGTATCTTATTATAAAGGCACCCTGGTGGCATACTGTCTAAGGCATCTGACTGCTAACCAGAAGGCTGGCAGTTCAAACCCACCAGTCACTGTGCAGGAGGAAGACTAGCCAATTTACTTCTGTAAAGATTTACTGCCTCGGAAACCCAATGGGGGTCACTATGAGTCAGGATCGACTTGATGGCAGTGGGTTTGGTTTTGGTATCTTATTATATGTGGGCAAAAACTTCTTTTGGGCATATCCTCAGGAACAGAATTACTGGGCATGAGGTGTATGAATGTTCAGTTTTGGGAGATAATGTTAAGCTCTTTTCCAAAGGATGTGTTGAATTTCAGACTCTTCCCAGCAATGTGGGTTGAGGACTGATTTTATGAACAACCTAAGTAAGAAGAAATAATGCAGGTGAAATGCTAGATCATCACGTTTGTGGATTTTGAGACACTCTCACACCCTTGTGGGTCAGTGGGGCCATGCCGTCCCCCAAGGTGCCAGTGTACAAGGTGACTGACCTGCTCACAGTGGCTGGTGAGGCCTGCTCAAGGTCAGCTGGCTCGAAGATCAGGCTCATCTTGGGGCTCATCTGGATAATCTCACCACTCATTAAACACAACTAAAAGTGCAAAGCAGAGAGAGGGAGGGCAGGCACTGGGGTTAAATTCCATCACAAATGAAAGGCTTCAGTGGAAACAGAGCTTGTTTGAATTCATTCAACATGTATTTTTTGAGCACCTACTATGTGCCAACACCATAATGTTAGTGTTGATGAAGTATACTGAATGTACCATGGACTGCCAGAAGACAGAACAAATCTGTCTTGCAAGAAGTGTGGCCAGAATGCTCTTCAGAAGTGAGGATGGTGAGACATCCTGCTTGG